TCAGTCAGGGGAACAGATACTTCTCTGCGGAAGTGAAAAATTCAAGGTGGAAACATACCTTCCTATTCTGGACACTCTGAACTCACACCTGATTAAACGTGCAGAAGCCTACAAAAGTATTGGAAATCTTTTTTCCTTTTTCAGTCAGTTAAAAACAATTGTCTGTAATGAGCTTAGTCAAAGGTATGAATAATTGGCTAATGCTTATCATGAAGATCTTGATTACAATGAATTACTCAATGAATGCGAGCAATTCAAGCACTATATTGTCCACGATGAAGAATGCAAGACTCTTCCAGACATGTACAGCAAACTCATTTCAGATAAGTTGAAATATGTGTTTCCCAATGTTGAAATCGCACTCAGAATATTATGTGCATGATGGTGACCAACTGTACCGGGGAGCGATCATTTTCCAGGTTGAAACTTACAAAGAATCATTTTCGCTGCACAATGGTACAGCAGTGGTTGAATCTGCTTTCCCTCATGTGCATTGAAAGCGACATCCTCAAAAAGATAGACTTTCAACCAATTATAAAGCAATTTTTTGCAATGAAATGCCGCAAATTTTAATTTTCCAGTTGAAAAACTTAATTTTAATGTGTTGGGGGGAGGCAGTACATTGCTTTGCCGGGGAGCCTCAAATATTCTGATCAGAAGCTGATGTTTTTGAAAAGAATCTTTGATTATAACAGAATGATTAAACAAAATAATTTTCTTCTCAGCACTTTTAGTATGAAAACATGATGTTGTTTCTGTAGAGCTCCAATAATTCAATGTAATAATATCTGCAGAATATCGCCCCCAGTGGCACAGCAGTATGTCTGTGGACTTACAATCCTAGAATCCGGGTTTCGATACCCGTGGTGTGCAGAGCACAGATAGCCTATTGTGTAGCTTTGTGCTTAATTACAAACAAAACAAAACAAAGATATGCAGAATATCAAGTTGTTCAAGCGTGAGAATTAAAATATGGGCCACTCTCAAAAGAGGTTAGTTTGAAGATGTCCATCGAGTGACTCATTATTTTGGGAAAATTATGAAAATCTCACACAGTTGAAATCTATTATTTCCAAAAAAATGATAATAATAATACAAAAATAAACTTAATATCAAATACATATTCTTACCACAAAGAGCACGTGATATTCACCCTCTATATTCATTTAATGGTGAATAGTGCATAGTGGTATCACAAAAACGATTGTCTTTTTTATTAACTTACTCTTTTGATAGTGAATGATCACATTAAGATTTATAGGCGCTACATTATTTGAATATTTGTTATACAAAATGGAGTAAATACAGTACAATTGTTTGTTGGTCTTAATTAGAAAAACAAAAGATTATTTTAGCCTTTATCACCATTATCCTCGTCGAGGACTAATATATGTTGACAGAGGAGGTTTAGTTAATTACCAAACTGTCTTTTGTAACTTGGTTACTATGCGTACTTTTTACTTTACTCAAGTTTACTGTAAACGGTGAACCAGAATTTTGAAAGCATTGATTGGAAAAACACAATTCACTGTTTGGATAACTTCGAATTTCGTTTTCTCAACAAATGCTTCGATATATTTGATATCAATTCTATTTAAAGACTGAGATTTTACTTAACGTTTGATGTTTAACCAGAATGATCTCTACGTAAAGCAATTTGAGCTATGGCGAGAGGATTAAAAACACGGGACTTTTCATTATACTATAGAAAAACTATAGGCCATATGATTTACATATTTAAGAAACAAAGTTTTAGCATCTTGGATGTTTAGCTCATGGGGTGTGTTTTAGTGGGAAAATGGTAATATTGGAAGTAGGTGAGATTATAATACGTTTATATTTCAGAAGTCAAGGTTTATAGTTGGTCATAATCAAACTTCCTTTCAGTTAGTTTTATGTTCATGGGAAATGGATAACCTTATGATATGGTGGGTGAAATAATGGATTTATTTAATTCGATAATTTGTTGATGTATTTAAGTTGATGATGTTAGAAAAATGAAAGGGTGGTGTTGTGACCTTAATGTTCTGTTAATACAGTGAGTAAAATTAGTAAAATAAACAAACACGTTTGGAAGACATTTATTCAGGTTAAACACAAATAATCGTTATTTGCATTGAACTTATAGTGAATACAATAAATCTGAAAGAAATTATTATTCAATCATCAAAGAATGTACACAACATATACCGACATAAAATTGTAAACAATACTGATTTTCGTAAAATATTGTAATAATTTCATTGTTGTTATTTTTAAAAATCAAAGGCTACTATTATATGAGGAATAACCGAATTTTTCTAAAGTTTTAGCCCAAGTCTCTTTTCAAAATGTAAAGTCGAAACACTAACACGCATACTATGTTTACCACCATCTAAATTCTCAATGTCTAGTGAAAATAAAATATTTCTCTCATAAGATATGTTACATATTAATAGTAAACTCAGTGCACCTACTTTTATATAGAAATACGAGATTTGTAGACTAAATCATAGTTTATTATTAAAATAAAATTAACATAAGACATTAAACTTTGTATTTTACTAAGTAATACATCACTTACATTAAGATTTTCAACAGACATCTTTGCAACGTGCGTTGAAAAAAAATCACTTATTATGTGTCACGCGTGGAGATAAAAATCAAATATGAAAATCAGCCAATTAAAACTAGAATTGTTAAAACTATTTATTAATTATTGATAAAAACCTATTTGAAAAATGAAATACTCACACATCTTTTTCCTGAGTTAGGACAGAATTTGTAGTCAGTGCTATTAACTAAAATTGTAAAATATTAGAAAATACCTTCATTCTTCTTCAGTTGATAAAAGGATACAACCTTGTGTTCAAGACTAGAAACAGAGAACTTGGGATCAAGACCTGTTACCTATACTGATGTTTCGGCGAGAACAAAAAGTTTTGTTAGATATCATCAATGATCGCCATGAAAATCATAAGTCCGAGCGAACTTACTCAAAACACACCATTAATTTGAAATATATGACGACACCTTCTATAAAGTTGGCGAATAGAAGGTGTGGTATGAAAAGTGCTTGAAAGTGTGAGGTTCTGCTTATTTGGATAGAAAAGGAAGAAGAAAACTTTCCTGAAGTTGAGTAAACAACAGCAAATGATAAATAGAAGTGGATGATATTGTATGTAATATTACAAAATATAGATATTTAAAATAAAAGTTATTCATCTTGATTATCTGTTCAGGTATCTGCATTTTTGTATAATAACATAACTTTTACCAGAGAAGCTGCTAATGTTTTTACAATAATAATTACAATTATAAATAGCCTTGATTATGAGTAACAAGCAAGTTTTAAAATGCTAGTTCTATGGCCACTTTGTTCTAGGGTATCAGTTGAGTATCTTCGCTGTTTCTGGTGTTTTCGGTCCTCAAAAAATGAGCAGGTTGAATGTCCTTCCACCAAGAAATCTGTGTATAAAAAGGAACTGACCTTTGATGTGAGCCCTGATTGTCAAACAGAAACAACGTGTCCAAAATTTCAGACTAGTGAGAAGTGATCAAGTTAAGCTGCTAGTATAAAGGAACTTTGCAGAGAACATTCTTATACAGGTGAGGAATTTAGAATAGATACCATTAGAAACATTATAGAAATGACTCTGTCTATTCGAAGATATGTACTGTAGAAAAGGCCTCCTGTTAGGAACTGTAGTGTGTAATGACCATAATATTATAAATCACAAGTCCCTGTAATATACTCTAAAGGACTTTTAGAGTATATTAGCCTTAAGAGAGAGATTTTTAGAGTATATTAGCCTTAAGAGAGAGATTTTTAAAGAATACTGACCTTTAATGAGAAGTATTTTTAAAGGATGCTGCCTTTCAAAGAAAGAGAGATATTCAAAATGGTATTGGTCTTCCATGAGGGAGAGATATTAGCCTTCAAGATGAAGAAATATATTTAAAAGGATATTTGCTTTCATAGATAGATATCTAAATGATATTGGGCTTCAGTGAGAAG